TTTTATATAATGTAAAGTATGAGTTTTATGATCCTCTATAAAAGATACTGGATATTTACTGGGAGTTTGGCTTGGTGTCATTAAACTGAGTCAGTGTTCATAGTACAGAAGATATCAAGATGGATCCAGTTTTGTTTGATCACATTGTGTGTCCGCATACTTTAGGCTGCATTCTCCAAACAAGATACACTTTTAAATTGACACATAAGGACATTCAATTGCTTTACTCATGGGCAATCATTGTATTTAGTCTGCACTACTGACCCTTGCAAACATGGGCAGAGGGCAACATTTTGCGGCAAAAAGGAAAAGTCTTATTTGAACTACTATTCTGTCCACACTGCCCTCTCTTCTTATGTCCTCAAGGAAGCAAGAAGGGGTCCCTCAAGAGTATTTTATGAGAAACATCTACATCTTTGGTCATTGCAATGAGACCACTGTGTTGCAACAGCTTGAATCCTAGATAAAAAACACCAACCTAGGGTCAACTGGCAAAACACTTGAACCTGGATCAACTATGTTGTGTTTAATCAATAGAGGACAAACTACATTTGGGGAAGGTTTATGATTACCGATAGCCCCGAGGCCGCTTTGACATGTCCATTTTATCCAGCAACATCACCCAACAACAGACTGCACAGGCCAAGCAAGTATGAGCCCTTTCCTGGTATATTACTTTGTAATGTGAACCTTGCAATCATTGAAATGGAGGATAAAATGTTTGCAGCCGTGACCATTTTCCAGAGCTGTGAAATCCTGTCACTGTGTCTGATGAGTCTTAAAGCTCATGGATGTGTGTATCATTCAAACTGGACTTCCTGGATCATATTTCATCTTCTCAACACTAGTTGAAGCAACACACCCCACCTAGTGTTTTTATTCCCTTTAAACACAGACCCATTTTCAGGCCAAACGTTGCTTGTCAAGCATCATGGACTGAGAGAAATGGCTGCTCCAAATTGGGAAAAAAAGGCATCTGAACACGAGTGTAATTATTTCCTGAGTCTTGTGAGAGAGTCTACCATGATGCTCTTGGTACAAGTACACAACAACTAGCTACAAATACTGCTCTTTTCTGAGAGTGCGATTATAGGGGCACGTCTGGGTCACGTCTTTTCTGCAGACTATAGCCATAAAGCTGTTCTCCCATTACACCCTCTCTGTCGGAGGCTCAGCACAGCGAGACAGGTGGGGGTAGGGAGAGTCCGCTGGGGCGAGGTTGGGTTGAGGTGAAGGGTGGAGTTGGGGTGAGAAGCCAGCATCGTTTACACATAGCAAAAGGCACAAGAGAGACGATTAGAGTAGACCGAATTACAAAAGAATGCATTAATGACAGGCGTCCTCAGACAAGTGACACACAGCATCCTTCCCAGAAATAGAAAAAGGCCGCTGTGACGACGACTCAGAAATGTGGCATTAAGGAAGATGACAAATCTCTATAAAAATACGACATTGTTGCCATCAATGCATTCTCAAGTGACAGAAAATGTCTCTACTATAAATGAGCGGAAGTATGGAGTTGTAATAGGACAACAATAAGAATACAAGCAACAATAGTAAAGGAATTATTGATAAAAGGGCCCAAACATGTACTAAGAAACATTTAAAGTGTTAGGGTATCACTAAATAGGTGAATAGATATATAGAGGAGAGCTTTCCTAGCTGTCATGTTCTTGGACTGCAGGAGAAGAAGAAGAAACATTAAAAAGGTAGAAGATGAAGTAGAAAAAGAAGAAACAAAGAAGAACAATCAGAGTCAGAAGAACCATACAAGAAGAAGGAGAGGAACAAGGAGAAGCAGAAGAAGAAGAAGGTCTGTGAAGACTCCATTCAGAGACTAAAGGCAAATGGCAGGGTGAGGCGCTTTAGACGTTGCTGTGGGAATTTGCTCTATTTGAGATGCAAATTCCTCAAAGAGCTGAAAGAGCCGGAGAAACAGGTGTCCAAGGAAGTGTGCTGCTGCGTGGGTGAGGGAGGGAGGGGGGGCGGGTGTGAGGGCGCTGAATGATAACACAGGCAGCATTGAAGGCCTGCTTGTTCAGTCCAGTCTGTGTGGCACTTCTTCGCCTGTCTCTTTTTCTTTGTCTAAAAAAAAGGGATTTAATATCAGAGCAAAAATGGAAAACATGACAGATCTGACGTTTTCTTTCTGTATTGATTTAATGAAGTAATTTTCTATAAAACAGCTCGTAGATATGAGAAGTTGATTTCAATTAAAAAACAGATCAGAAATAAGTTCCTATAGAATGACAGCAAGATAAGTTACACATTTACAATCTTTCCTTAAATCATAATAGTTGCAATGATTAGTAATAAGAAGCTTCTCGACATTACAAAATATATTTTTGTTAAATATTATACAGGAATCCAAACCACATCATGTATATCCTTCATTTACACCCCAGGTTGAAGCTCGGTGGCGCCATCTACAGGACAGCTGGTTACATGTGATTTGTATTTTTGATTAAACCTTTTAAAAATATAAATATAAAAAGGCTTCACAGAACATGGTTGTTAAACAATGCATACTATTAGACAGAAAATGAACCCGTAGAATATACTTTCAAAACATCCCACATTTAAAATCAACATACACACAACCAATTTCCCAGTATAAAACTCCTGACAGCATATAGTTTGATGTACATTTACACAGCTGCTAATACATTATTTTCCTAGACTGAGAGTTTATAAATTCATTAAGAATCATTTCAAGCAATTTCTTCATTGTCGCAGCTCAGATCAAATGAGCTCAAAGGTGTTGGACTCCCTTGACTTTTAATATCATCCATTATCATCAAATATTTTCTATGGTTTATTTGAATATGTACACAAAATGCTGGAGGGTCATACTTCTTAAAAACCAAAGAGAACTAGTCTCTCATCTGTTTTCGTTTGTTAAATCATGCCATTCAAAAAGAACGGCTAAAGACTATAATGGCTTCATTATTATTTTTCGTGATGTTTTTAAATTCAATTAAGTTTTGAACAGTTTTATCAGAAAGATAACACCATTATTGAACCGGAGATTGGATTCTGACGTTAAAAAGATTACAAAAAAATCTCCTTCTGTCTTTTTTTTCTTTAAATCCACATCCAATATATTTAAGTCTAAAGGCCCACAACCTTCAAGCATGATTATAAAAACAACAGCTCTGTATTATCGTTCTTCAACATGGCATTTCACCACATCTCTTTGATAACTAAACAAAAACCTCTCCCTAATACTGAATCACAATATGATTGGATAAACTGCTTCAACAACATATTTAAAAAAAAAATCAGCATTACAAATCTTTGGCTTAGTGGCACTAATTGTCCCTGCACACTTCTTCCTTCATTGTGTCAGTTTTTGCTCTCACTCAGAGACCTGCGATGGTCACTGCTGTGAGGACGCCCTCCAGTGTCCAACATCAGCAAAGACTCCTGGATGCTGCACTGACAGTCAAATGTGCGTATCGGTGCACGTCTAGCAAAGCAGGGTAAATAGGAATCTCTGCGTTGGCAACGTAGTGACTAATGTAGGCAAAGAGGAAGGCCATAAAGACAAAGTGCTGTAGAAAAGACCTCATCAATAAAGACAAAATCAGACTTCATTTATAACAAAGGACAGAATCTAAGAGGTAAAATTAGGGAGGTAAGTAGCAGCAGCAGCAGCTGTTAACAGTGAGTTAGCGAGTGTACTGTGAACCCCATATGTTCGCTCATATGAAGCTAATAGATTGCAGCAGGAATGAATCCTGATAGCCGGAAATTAGTCAGCATTTTTACATTTCTAGTTTCCTTGTTTTAGTCGATGCATTTTTTAAGATGCATGATATAAGGTCTGTAGCTAAGACCAGTTAACATTGAGGACATTAAATACTAACACTCCAAAGGCAGAGACTCATCTGCTTAAACCGTGGTGGAGTTTGTTACTTTTAGAGATTGCATTTATATTTAAAAGTCATAGTTCTGTTCATTTTCCTTAGTGAACAAAAGTATCTTACACTTTTGTTTCTGCAATAATCCAAACTCAAATGGACAAATCCCATTGGCTTTGTAGAGTGAACCAGATCGATACTAACAAGCAGGTTAGCTTTCAAAAACAAATCTCTGCAGCATTATATAGTGGCGAAGTCACGCCCATCTACTTCCGGTCCATGGGACCTTATTTCGGAAAAAGTATGTATTGAAGTCAATGGAGAGAGAAAACTTATCTTTCGATCCCGTTTGAATTGTGCCACGAATTACACATATGATGTTTGTCAATTTAAAAGATAATTTTGTAAGTCAAAAAAATTAAAATGAGTCCTAAAACTGTGAAGTAACACGTTTTTTTGTGAGAAACCGCTCAATGAACTACATCTCCCATCTCGCACCACACACCAAGACGGCCGTCACGTTGGCACATTTCACTTCTTTCTTTCAGAATGAGGCAAAAAGTATTAAAAGAGGTGAAAATCACTACAAGTCTGGGCATGTTGAGAGCTGTACATACACACAAGGGGAGTTAGTCGGTTCCGTAAGAGCCAGCATGCGGGACCGGGATTCTGGGATTTGTAGTCTTTCTAGTTGCGTATTTTTCATAGTCTTATATTTCAACAGTTTTACGACAAACTGTGACTTTTTTTTGACATGGAAATGATTATTTAAGATTGACAAACATCATGTGTGTAATTTGTGGCACAATTCAAACGGGATGGAAAGATAATCTTTCTCTCTCCATTGACTTCAATACAAACTTTTTCCGAAATAAGGTCCCATGAGTCCCACCGGAAGGGGAGGGACCTCGCCACTCTATAGCTGAATTAGCTCAATGTCCCTCACAGCACAGAGTTGTCATCCATTGTTCCGCAATTACACATTTACGAGTTCATTTAGTTATAAGTAAGGTAAATAGAAACATGTATAAATGACATGACAGCGAAACTGTGTTGACTTTTAAAGCTCAGTTAGTTTGCACACGTGCGGTCGCACAGACATGAGCTTATGGACAATTGTGACAAGGACAAAATGTATGTTGTATACTTTGTGCGGCTTTATCCTCGCGCCAAACCAAAATCTCCTCAAAGTTCTCCATTTGTTTCACCTTTCTGTGTAGTTAAAACATGTGTTACCGTGCAGACAATACCTTGCCGTCAATCATTTAAGTGACTGCTGGTTTGAGCAATGGCGTTTTTCACAAACCTTGAAAATACAATTTTTTTTTCTTGATTGTAAACATAACCATTTGAATAAAACCTGTCCTACACACAGTAATTCATGAAAGGTTTTGTCATGTCACTGTGACTCAAGAACGTTTACTTAAAACTGTAAAGGCTGTTGTGAATGGTGATGCAAGTAAACTGGGACACTTACCCCGCTACAGGTAAGTGTCATGCTCGGCGCTGCTCAGACTCTCTTTGGACCCTTGTACAGTCATGTGTTTGAGGAGAAGGGAGGGGTCACTGGGAGAAAGGTAAGGATTAACCGTCTCCACTGGGGGAAGCGTGGTTTTCTTCTGTTTCCCCTTGTTAGTCTTTGCACTCTCCTTGGCGTCCTGTTCTCTCTCTCCGTCCGTCTGCGTTGCCAGGGGCGACTGCACGATGATGGTGGGCCTTTGTTTCAGGTCCTGACGGCTGGGCGGCTCTGCCGTAATGATAGCTTTAGCGCCGTGCATCCTGGGAGGGGACTTGCAGTGTAGATCTCCATGAGTCTCCTTCCAGCGGCGCAGCTGAGCAAAGTGTTCCTTCTCAATGTCTTTCTCTGACACCCCTAACTCAATTATCTGAAACACAAGGAGAGAGGTTTTTTTTATGGTTTAAGTATTTCAGCACATTACATACAGGTATTTGTATATCAATGTTACAACAACCACAGGAGGGCAAAGTCAAAGGGTCAAAACAATAAATTGGATAACAGACAATAACCATGACAGAGTAAACTGTACCTCTTGCACCAGGAAGCCTTCTCGTAGGTACTGTGGCTGTATGGCTCGGAGCAGCTCCATTGTTTCATACAGACCCTGAGAGGTCTTCAGTTTCTCCTGGGATCCCAACGTGCATTTCAGGAGAACCAGGCCTACCCGAAAGAGGATCTTTACTCCTGAGAACACATCAGACACAAAGTAAAGTTTCATTTCCATAGCTTAATATCACACATTTGCCTTTCAACAGGGAAAAAGTGGAAGGGACCAAAGAAAGAGAAACTGAAGAGGGATCACTCTCCCTAATGGATAGACATGCAACAACATAACCAACATAATGACATGACAGTATACTACTATAGACAATCCGAATGACAAAATATACACGTTTTCTGATTTCTTTAGAATTAAACTGAATGGGTTTTGTTTTTAAGACAGAAAAGGACATTTAAAGAAGTATCTTTGAGAAACTGGGATGGACGCTTTTCACGATTTTCTCGTGAAAGTAGTTAAAAATCGTGAAAAATAATCAGAAATTGTAGCAGTATATTTTTAATCATGCAGATAGAGCAGCGGTCTACATCTATATTTTTAATGGTGATCTATTTCATATATATTCTCATATCACAAACCAAAACAATAGGTAGCATTCTTGTTTTAAACATTTGCATACTTTGAAAGGCGAGTATGCTTTGTTTTATTGCAGGTAAAATTATACAGATGATTAATAGACACATGCACAGGGCCTGGAAACATTCATTATCTTCAAAAGCTCAGGAAGGGTAACCTGTGATGTTGTGGAAAATGTTTTTCATGCATAATAAAATACCAGTGAAAATAAAGTGTAGTGTCTCACCCTCACAAAGGAACATGTCCCAGACCCGCAGCACAGAGGCCCAGGGCAGAGTCCGAGAGAAGGCGCACATGAACCACTCGGTCATGTACAGGACGGGCTCCAGCTTGTGCTTCTTCAGGTGACGGTGGGCCACCGGGGACACCCGCCGCAGCAGAGCGTACAGGATCTCCCCGTCCAGCTGGATCGCCTCCTGTGGAGGAAACATGGAACAGCAGTCAGTGGAGGGGAGCTTTCTCTTTGGTTAATCTGATTATATCGTCCTAGTAGCCTTGTCAACACCTCGTGTAGTTAGGTCATTAGCGTATTAGTGTAAAACTTGAGATACACTGGCCAGAGAACACATTGCATGCATTAATAGAAGATACTTTTTAAGGAAGTAGCTCAACTTTTGTTTTACTTCAGGTTAACTCGTAAAATAATATAGAGTTCTTATATTCTTGCGATGCAACAATATGCAAGAATATTTTCCACTTAATAATAATTATCTTGAGTTCGATAACTTGACCTGAGCCTAAATAATGAGACATCTCCTGGGCAGTATAATTTAAGAAAACATATTTAAAAAATGTAAGGATTCAGGCCTATAATGTGGCATAACTGCAGACTTCAGAAAACAAGTGTTCGTGGGCATCAAATTATGTAAGTGTATTTTTGCTTGCACTAGGCAAAGGACTCATTTAAAGGGGACCTATCATGCAAAATGCACTTTTGTACGTCTTTTATACATGAATATGTGTCCCGGTGTGTCAGGGAACTCACCAAGTGTCAGAAAACACAACCCTCTCTCTTTTCCTCCATACCCAAATCTCTAAAAACGGGGCTGCAACCGAGCTGATTATTATTTGAATTGTTCTGACGTCAGAAAAGGGGTGCTCCGCCTATATGGGCAACTCTCCACCTATCAGGGGAATGAGAGACCGCTCGAAAGCGCTGGAGACGCTGTAGTACATATGCCAGGCCTGTAAGTGGCGCTGTAGTCTGCCACAAAAGCAGAATCAGCCCTTGCAAAAACAGGGCTGGAAAAGAGCAAATAGAGCGAAATGAGGCATGGCTAAAATGCATGATCTGTTTGGTATTTTGAAAAAAAAACTTCACCGACATGTTTTGTATAGGTATGGCCCTACAATATATGTTTCAAATATAGCATGATAGGTCCACTTTAAGCTATATTTACAGGGTTCAGATAGATAATAATTGACATGTTTAACAGTGTTAATATGTAATCCTGTTACAGGTTGCAATCCTATCTTCTCAAGCTCTTCTTAAGATTTAAAGTCCTCTTTACAAAATGATGTGTCAGTAATTCTGTGTGGACTCTTACCAGCCCTGAGCTGTAGTATCCAGGAAGGTATTTCTCACAAATCTGAACAAGAACCCAGAATGCATCCTAGGACAAAGAAAAAGGAAACAAGGGTAAAAATATATACTATTCATATTCAAGTGAAGCCCTTTTCAAGATAAATTGTACTTTGAACAAAACGGAAAAACTATACATAGAATGAGTGTTAATGTGATCATTCTTTAAAAGATCTTTACCCCATTATTCAATGTATCAGAACACGCGCCAAACATCCTTAGGGAGGTGAGTACCCAGTATTACAAATATATTATCATATGATATCAGAGAAAACATTTCTGATTATGTAGTGTGTGTTTACCTCAGCTGGCATATGCATCAGGAGAACAGCAGCGATCGGAGCCTGAGCCTGACAATAACCCTCTTCAGGCCGATGCAGAGTGTAAGCCTTCAACACACGGAACAAGTCTTGCTGCCTGAATGTATACAAATATATAAAATACATTAATAAAATGTACAGCTTCAATAACACAACATTCAAATTATGAGAGGCTTTTATATAAAAAGCAGCACTTACCCATGACCCCCTCTGGCTTCAAACATTTCATGGAAGGGGAACTGCCGATGGAGGTCCCTCTCAATAATATCTACCCATTTAGGATCTCCTGGCTTACTGTCCAGCTCCTAAACAACATTATCAGTTTGTCAGCTTTTGCAACATCATCAACCACCTTTTGATAGCAATATTATAAAATAGGCAATTCTTGATCTAAATGCCATAGTAAAGTTATAAGCATTTAGAGAGTCTCAAGTATACATATCATGAAAACATTTTGCAGCGATTTTCAACAAAACACAGTCTAATTTTTTACGCCGGTGGTCAGTCAACAAATAATCGACTTACCTGGAATTTTCTTTGGTTTTGTTCCCTTTTAACCTTGCCCCCAGTGAGGTAGAGCCAGGCCCGGCCACGCAGGGATGGAGGGATCCCCTTCTGACAGCGCTCTTTCACCTGTAATTCAACATACTCACAGTTACTCAAAGCCTGCAGAAAGCAAGATAAATGAAGTGCAGATGAAAGGGACACAGACATTGGAAAACACTCCTGTATATACTGCAGCGTACAAAATACCACTTGCTACAAAATGATGTGCAGGCAATCACCAAACTTTAAAAAAACAGGCATGCTGTAGAAATGAATAAAAGTTTCCTAGCTCAGCCACTGCATATTAAACGAACGCCTGCAAAGTGAACATTTTTATTACAAAGAAAGAAACATGTGAAGTCAGAAAATGTACAGTTTATGAAACAGACCTTCTTGTGTTTTTTGGCCATCCACTTGTCCCAGCTGTTGAGCATTTCCAGCCATTTTGACTCCCGCTGCCTCAGCACATCAGTTGGGATTTCTTCCGCACTGTGCAGATAGGAGACATTGTGGCTGATAAAAGCAAATTATTTTCATACAAATGGACAATGCCTACACAGTGTCACTTCCCTTTATAACAGAGGGAATACTGTCTTTAGAGGAGGTGGGACTGTGGCTCATCTCTTCCTTGTCCACACAGGAAACCTAACCTCAGACGAAACAGTGGAACACTTGCCATCGGCAGCAAGTACAGGGAAAACAGGAAACAGTGGGAGAACTTTCCCCTAGTTCAGCTCCCTAGAACCTCCTACACACCGCTTACACCAACATCTCACAACAGTGTTGTACCCACACTTAGGCAGAACTAAACGGTTATACACAAGATTGGGACAAATTCCTTTATGTCTCAACATATCAGTGTGTCTATTCAAGCAACCACAGAATGGTTTTGTGACAGAGAAAGAGAGATACATATAATGTTTGTTGTTCACCTGGCCTCTATGGATTTGTATTTGCACCAAAACAAGTTGTCATTATAATAAGAAACCTTCTCAAAATAATAACTTAGTATCTCAACAAAAGGTTCAAAATAAAGGCAAGGCAAGTTTATTTATATAGCACTTTTCAACACAAGGCAATTCAAAGTGCATTACAAAAAATGAAAGACATTAAGAAAATGGCATTTAAAATCAGTCATTAAAAAGAAAAGCTAATAAAATAAACATTAAAAGAAAAAATACATGGATAAAAGTTACAGTGCAGTCTAAGATATGAATAGTTCAATTAAAAGCAGCGACAAAAAGAAAAGTCTTCAGCCTGGATTTAAAAGTAGTCAGAGTTGCAGCGGACCTGCAGGTTTCTGGGAGTTTGTTCCAGATATTTGGAGCATAATAACTGAACGCTGCTTTACCATGTTTAGTTCTGACTCTGGGGACAGAAAGCTGACCAGTCCCTGAAGACCTGAGAGATCTGGATGGTTCATAATTTAGCAGGAGGTCAGAAATGTATTTTGGGCCTAAACCATTCAGTGCTTTATAAACCAGCAGCAGTATTTTGAAATCTATTCTTTGACACACAGGAAGCCAGTGTAAAGACTTCAGAACAGGAGTGATGTGATCCACTTTCTTAGTGTTAGTGAGGACTCGAGCAGCGGCATTCTGAATCAGCTGCAGCTTCCCAATATATTTTTTAGTGAGACCTGTGAAGACACCATTGCAGTAGTCGAGTCTACTGAAGATAAAAGCATGGACAAGTTTTTCCAAATCCTGCTATGACATTAGTCTTTTAATCCTAGATATGTTCTTTAGGTGACAGTAGGCTGATTTAGTAACTGTTTTAATGTGAATGTTGAAACTCAGGTCAGAGTCCATGACTACACCTAGATTTCTGGCTTTATCTGTTGTTTTGAACATTGCAGACTGAAGCTCAGCGCTAACTTTTATACGTTCTGACTTGGCTCCAAAAACCATTACCTCAGTTTTATCTTTGTTTAATTGGAGAAAGTTCTGACACATCCAGTCATTGATTTGTTCAATGCACTTACTCAGTGTTTGAATTGGAGCATAGTCTCCTGGTGAAATTGTTACGTAAATGTGTGTGTGTTATCCGCATAGCTATGGTAACTTATTTGTTGTTCTTCATTATCTGAGCCAGTGGTAGCATGTAGATGTTAAAGAGAAGAGGCCCCAAGATGGAGCCTTGAGGAACCCCACATGTCATATTTGTCAACTCAGATGTGTATTTACCTATAGAAACAAAGTTGTTTCTGTCCTTTAAATAGGATTCAAACCCATTTAGAACTGTTTCCGAAAGTCCCACCCAGTTTTCCAGTCGGTCTAGTAATATGTTGTGGTCAACAGTGTCAAACGCAGCACTGAGATCTAATAATACTAACACTGAAGTTCTGCCACTGTCTGTGTTTAAGTGGATGTCATTAAAGACCTTTACAAGAACAGTCTCAGTGCTGTGGTTTGGACGAAAGCCTGACTGGAACACATCAAAACAGTCATTTAAATGCAATAAATTACTCAACTGTTGAAAAACAACTTTTTCAATGATTTTACCTAGAAATGGCAGGTTTGATATGGGCCTGTAATTGTTCATTACTGAAGCATCTAGATTATTATTTTTTAAGAGCGGTTTAATGACTGCAGTTTTCAGGGCCTGTGGAAAAATACCTGAGTGAAGAGATTTGTTTACTATATGAAGTAGATCTGAAGCCATGCAAGGCAAAACATCTTTGAAAAATCCTGTTGGAATAATATCAAGGCAGCAGGAGGAGGATTTCAGAAGTTGTATAATGTCCTCTAGGTTTTTATCATTAATCTGATGGAATTGTGTCATGGTGTTTGAATTGATGTTAGGTGGACACAGAGACAACACATTTGCTGTTCCTGATGCAGAGGCACTTACTGCTTGTCTGATTTTCTGAATTTTGTCAGTGAAGAAGGAGGCAAAATCATTGCACGCCCTGGTGGATAGAAATTCAGAGGCTACTGACACTGGGGGGTTAGTTAGTCTGTCGACGGTAGCAAACAAGGCACGTGCGTTGTTTTTGTTTTTGGTAATGATGTCAGAGAAGAACGATTGTCGTGCGTTTTTCAATTCCAAATTATAAAGGCCAAGTCTCTCTTTAGATTTGTTTTTCGCCACATTCAGCTTTTCGACATTCTCTTTTTTCTGTTTTCACGGTCATGGCCTTTCTCCATGGAGATATTTTCTTGCCAGACACTTCCTTTACCTTAGTTGGAGCAATGGCATCTATAACATTTTTTATTTTTGAATTAAAATGATCTACTAGCTCATTTACTGAGATGTTGGCAGGGGCTAGTGTGGAAGAAAAATTCTGAGTTAACATTTCCCTAGTATTTTCAGTTAAATATCGCTTTGTGGTTACCTCTTTTTGAACATTTTTGTGAACACAAATAGAGCTCTCAAAGAAAACACAGGAATGGTCAGAGAGTGCAACATCAGTCACCACAACCTTAGAGATATTCAGACCCTTTGAGATAATTAAGTCCAGAGTGTGATACTTATTGTGCGTGGGCTCCGTCACATGCTGAGTCAGTCCATAGTTATCAAGAACACAAAACAGTTCTTTAGCCCCTCTGTCCTGGGGGTTGTCAACATGGATGTTAAAATCACCAACAATGACTAGACGGTCAAAGTCAATACACACTATAGACAGCAGTTCAGTAAAGTCATCAAAAAAGCTTGCACAGTATTTGGGTGGTCTATAGATATTTAGGAACAGAGCTCGAGAGGAGCATTTCAGCTGAAGGGCCACATATTCAAAAGAATCAAAGTTCCCATAAGATGTCTTCCTGCATTGAAGGGAATCATTGAACAGAATAGCAACTCCACCCCCTTTCTTATGCATTCTTTCCTGACTCATAAAACTGAAGTTGGGAGGGGTTGATTCGATAAGAACAGCTGCACTGTTATTTTGTTCAATCCAAGTTTCTGTTAAAATCATAAAATCGAGATTGTGCTCAGTGATTAAATCATTGATTAAAAATGTTTTTCCTGCCAAAGACCTGACATTTAATAAAGCTAGTTTAAGTTTCTTAAAACACACTATCAGTCATGTTTTTTGTAACAAGCTGTGGCTGACATGGAATCACTGCTAAATTAGATAAACTCACACACACACACTCAAAGGGTTTATTTTCTTAAAATGTGGACTTTTTAAAACTTTTTTCAAAATGACTTGCTATCCCAACATAATAATAAACCTCCTTATGATGATGACTTAGTATCTCTAACTACAATATTTCTCCAAAAAGGACTATTATAAAATATATGAAACACATTCTCAAAAAAAGGTATATTTGTCAAAGTAATGATTGGCAAATTCTTATTATTTTGAGATATGAAATCATTATTTCGAGAAGGTGTATCATTTGAGTAAGAAATATAGTAAATTACTTCGTTACAGGACCATTTAGTTTCATTACTTCCAAATGTTCAGTCAAGTAGGAGGAGAAAGCACCTGAATATATGTGTCTGTTTGTGGAGACATACACAAACAGTTCACACAGTTTTAACCACATAAGGAGAAGTTTAGCTCCACTTACGATGAGTGCTGCTGGGCTCCTCCGCTGAACCCGTACTTGTCCACCTCTTTCTCCCCGGGGACATTGCCGTTTACCTCTGGGTCGGATCCATACGAGTTGCCTTTCCCATTATCTGTCAGCTTCTCTGGGCTGCCCCGCAAGTCAACCCCATTGCCCTGCTCTATTTTTGCCATTTATTCAACATTTACCTCCACAGGAGCCGCTGGTCTACAGTTTGTTCACATAACTCACCCTAAAAAACAATCTTGAAAGCTTGGCTAGCACTTTAAGGCTCTCCATGAAGATAACCGTTGGTTAGCTTACCTGCTGTCACAGCTAGCTACGGTTGCTAGGAAGATTAGCTTCCTGGCTCTTTCAGCTTGCTAAGGGCTATAAAAAGCCACTTAGCGCTGGAAAGGTAATTTCATATGAAACAAAACTGTTCGCTTTGTTAACTTTAAGATCAAACAAACAAATAAATGGTTAAACTATAAAAGAGAACCGCACCACTTCGATAAACGCTGAATTGATACAGTATCTTCTTGCCAACTCCGACGCTAACATGCTAGCATCATACAACTGTCAGCTGACACACACCTATTTAAACCAGGATCTCTGCTGTCAGCAGGAATGTAGGTTAGCTGGTGGCTACAGGAAGAGAAACTGGAACAGATTAGTAAACAAAACATCCATGGCTTCCTTTAACTCTACACTGCCATCTACTGCTGATAATCATAATCTCAGGTACAGTCTGGTTATTGCAGGGTGTTATGATAATAGATTTACTTTGCCTTTATTGGATTTCCCTTTGTTTTGTGATTTCAGGTTTGAGGTACTCAATCACACACTTTGTGGTATTTGAAGTATTGAAGTATTTCTTATTTAGAAATGGCATATTTTATTAGATAGGCCTGCATTTAAAAGTAGCTCTGTTCAAAATACTGTCACTCATGTAGATTTTCTTAACCAGTGAACCCATATAAATAAGAAGATATGAGGAGCAGGATAGAGGATATCCCCTTTAATGTATAAGTTGTTACTTTCAAGTATAGGCCTGCTTCAAAATACTTAAGCAGGATTTAGACTTTGGCCTCTATTGGTAGGCTCATAAAATAAGATAAGATATTACTGTAATAATCTTAAGGAAAATTCTTGCTTGAAGATGAGAATTTAGTGCTAAAAAACAGAGAAGAAGTTTTAATAACACTATTGCCTAAAAAAATAATAATTATATTGTACCCCTGAAGTATGTAGGCCTATGTTTTATGGACATGTTTACACTTATTCTATTATTCCTATTTTACTTTAACTATTAACTTACATTAAAGTAAATAGAAAGTATATGAAGAAGATGTAACCAAATGTATTAAAACCTTTAATATTTGCACCAACAGTAGGATGTACCAGAATAGTAGTAATAGAGAACATGGTTATTATTACATGTACTGGATGCACCTATGTGAGCAGTACACCAGTATAAAAAGATGAAAGATGAAACAGCATCATAAAAATACTTGAGCAGATTTAGTATAAATACTAGATTCTTTATTTAAATATTGTACATATTTAAAACATATTTACATAAATTAGACCTGCATTGTTACACTTGAGACATAGGAGTAGCTTTCATACACACAAACATTGCTTGCTAAAAAGAGGACAATCATACCATACAGACTGCAGAAGCACCTTTGAGAAAATCGTTACAGGAGAGCAAGACGGGGGCAGACTTTCATTTACATCAAACAACGGGCGACATGACCAAGGACAAGACAAGCTTGCAATGACAGGAAAGGCCTCTTTATTACAGGTCTAGCTATTTGTTAAGGCTGAAACTGTGCTCACCCACGTACTGTTAGCTCTCAGCACTATTACCCTTCTCACCACCCCTCCTGCATATGAGTTACATCTTTCTTTAAATATAGGTCTATCTTTGAAATAAATACAGGTTCAGAACCTTGACACATCAATTATAAGCCACCAAGACAACAACAGACAACTGTGTGAATTAACTTTGTTAAATGGTGCCAACAGCTGAGTCAGAAACCATGCAGAAAGAACAATGCAGACAAGCGAACAAATCATATTCTAATAATAATTATGTCCATTATGTGTATGCGTGAAGCAACACCATGTTATCTTTACAGCAGGGCTTACAGAGCAGTGCCATAATCACGTGTTTGTATATGGCTTTCCTTCTTTGGTTTCATAAACCTGTCTTACACTTTCTAGCAACCAGTCACTTATAACTTAAATCAAGATTATGATGGTTTACGCTCTAATAAAACAATTTTAGGCATAGATCAATAATTTATAATGTTCCCATTGAACATTTCCACCCATACCAGCACTCAAGATTCAGAGCACAAGGAATTTACAGTATTGCTGTACGATGTTTGTATCAACAAAAGCGTGCGTGTACTGTATGACATACACAAAGAAAATGTGTCTTTGGTGGCACCCGCTGATAAACTGTAAAGACATTGTCCAAACCACTTGGGCGAGCTGTTAGACAAAAAGGGACAGACTGTGATGAAGATAACAGTGTTATCAATGTATTTGATGCAGCAAACACTTTCACACACACACTCATTACAATCATGCTGATCATAAATCGTGTCAAGTCATATACAGACATCAGAATTATAAAAGAGAAGCAGCAAACAAATGTAAAGGGAAATAAGGAGCAACAAAATGATACAAAACAAATAAACATACACATCCCTACTTCAACATGCACACCTGATTCTTGTTAAGATAGCTGAATCTGTCATTCACCACAAGTCAGCAGTCACTCCAAACTAACTTTAAAAACTAAAGAACGTTAAAAAAAGACATATTTTCTCTTTAAACTCATGCCTGACCTATCATTGCATTTGTGAGCATTCCCAGATGCTAGCTTTGCATTTGCGAGAAAACAAATATGAACATTAAATACACCAGAATAGCCATTAAAGGACTTCTCACATGTATACCGCACTCACACATTGCTAACATCCTTCCTACCACACAACTGCTGCAGCGATCAATCTCAGCAAAGATCCTCTTGTTCATTTCAGTGTGGGATTTATAAAGCTCACTTCGAGTTTAACATCTATACAAGAAAATACATTTATGAACAATTTTTTCATCATCCACAATAGTAACAAAATAGCTCTCTGCTGTAAAGCAAAGACAACAGAAAGGCAAGAACGAACCCCTAAAAACACAAAGATATTTACAACTCATAAGGATGTGTGCGCACAGACAGATTCCCCAACGAACGGACAAAGAACTGATCAACTTAAACATGTAAGCTCTAGCAGGTGTTGTGGTTTCCCTTTAAGAGGTTACTTTGATCCTAGCAGTTACTAGTTTGCTCTTCCATCGTACACATACCCGAACCCATGAAAACAAAACTTAAATCAAATGTTTTAATAATTCCCATCCATTCCAAACATCAGCTTCCTCAGTCCATATTTATGCTTTGTTTAAATACATTTACAACAATGAACAGATTATCAACTGGAAAAACAGAGACAGCTAGTCAACTCAACCATTTCTCTCTGAAACCGTGGCTTACTCCTCTTTTAATATGACTTTTTATAAACAAGGGCTACTCGGTTGTTAAGCCCTCAGTCAAACCGAACTGCCCTGGACTGTCTCTCAGTCACATCACCTCAGATGTGAGACACAGGAGACTGAAAAGCTTGCCTCAGCCTCTCGTGCTCAACTCTTCCCGCATCATGATCAACATGAAAATGTCCTAGCTGCCTGCTTCGCTCTCAGCTGTTCAAGCGGCAAACAAAAACAAGAGGAAGAAAACCAAAAATGTACACGTGGACAGCGGCCCTGCAGTAAGGAGTGTGTGTCGTGATGGTGGGCCTCCCCTGTCAGCCCAGAGGATGCAGTGCATTTTTTTGGGAGGGCTGCAGGTGGAAGACTCAGGCAGAGATCAGGGATCAGCCCCAGAAAAAGCGCTCACACACTCAGACACACTTTAGTCTGTATATTCAGCCACAACGGAGAGCAGCACTGTGATATCATCTGGCTTTCCTCCTGCAGAAAAATAAAACAAGGGTGTGAGAAACCATGCCAGTCGCAGAGTGTGTTTTTGTAAGGCTATTTAAGATACATTTCCCGTTTTATTTAGCTGTTGTCTGGAAAACTAGAGTCAAACTAGAGCCGTAAATGCAGCCTATTAACAACCCTTATATGTTACGTCTAAATATCAAAACAGCTCATTATTTTTAAAACTGAAATATTATTGAGGAAAGACAAAAAAATGCATCCTCTCAAATGTTATTTTCCTTTAGTCTTAGTTTACATTGACTATTGCCTGAATGACAAGTACCGTACACAGAATGTGAAGCACAGTGTAACTTACCTCTCACATTCAGGCCATTGTCACATGCAAACTGTGCAAAAGGGGACATATAGTTGGGGTCGTAGGCAAGGTCGTGAGCTTGTTTTGCAATGCTCTGTGCAGTCTGCAGGACGCTGTCATAGTTGGTAGCCTGAAAGGATCAGAAGTAAAAATGATTAAAATGTAAAAGGCTTAAAATATGCCTGCACTTATAACTACAACCGATGTGTGAAAGCTTGAATAAACTGATAATCCAAAGGTCTTACCTTGAGTTTTTTGAGCTCCTGAAGAATCATGTAGTCTGGCATGTTGTCAAATAGACCGTCGGTCGCCGTCAGAATGATGTCACCAAGCTGCACGTCAAAGGAGGAGCTGTCAGCTGCTTCAGGGCTAGAGGAAACAATTTGGGCGTGGACAGATCAGTCACAAGTGTAACAGGAGCATGTGGCGCTGAGCCGCTGTCAACAGTTTCCAAAATGGCAGTAAGTAGGTCAGAAGTCACTCAAAATCGAAATCTTGCCTTGTGCTTAAGGCGTCAAATAATTTACCTCTTTGTGCACTTACATTTTGTGTATCTGTTCACTATCACATGACCTAAACTGCTTGGTGTACTATTTTAATAAGTTGTGAGAATAATACAGATTATGTTGGTTGACCTTTAAAGTCACTGAAATGTAAACCAAAACAACAAACTATAAACAGGAGGACACGAGACAATTTTCCATGAAGGGATATAAGAAAAAAGACCAAGTAGTTACAATGCATAGCCTGGTTTTGCCAGGAGTGTAATGCCAAAGCAGGTCATGTTTATGCTGCAAGCACCCTCTGAAAGTTCCTACAGCTGCTGTGTTTGTTGCCTGTGGAGGCTGCATGTTTTCAAAAATGTACTTATTTTACCTACCCAAATAATTCAATGTTTGTTATATCCAATTTTCTTATTAGACAAACAAATATGAGAAATAATGTTTTTCAATAAATGATTTGCTTTGGCACATGCAGAGGTTCAAAGCTGAACAAGGAAGTAGCTCAGTAAAACAAATGAAATTGAATAAAGTCATGTGTTGTAAAGCTTCTGTTTTTATGATTCTATTCTTTAAATTTCATTCACACATGCATTTCAATGATGTACTGACCTGTCACTGAGCACCACACCTTCTGCCCCAGGAGGAGCGATGGACAGCTGGAAGGGTGTGTTAAAATAATGCTGTTGTTCATCTGAGCGATGAACCACCTCTCCTCCCCGAACCACCAGAAAGCCTGAGTCACCGAGGTTACACGTGTGTAGCCGGTGACTCCGTCGGTCCAGAACC